AGTACCCCGATACTATTTAAAGGGGATACTTCTTCAAGATATCGATATGGTAAAATTTGTATGCAAGTTTATTTTTCGTGTTACTCGAAAATAAATTAATATAAACATCTTAGCGTTATCGTTAGTTACAATAACATCAAAAAGCTTATAAACTAGAAAAAATGCAAAAAACATTTTTAATTGTTTTAATCTTGGACATATTATTTGTGTCTTTCCTTTACATTACATTATATTCCACATTTAAAGCTCTACGTAAACCATCAGTTTGGAAATTAACGATTATTCATACAAATGATGTTCATTCTCGATATGATCAGATTAATGAAGCAGCTACAGATTGTACTCCAGAACAGTTTGAAAAGAAACAATGTTATGGTGGAATTGCTCGACATAAAACAGTGATTGATAGATTGAGAAGGGAGAATAAAAATTCCTTACTTTTAGATGGTGGTGATCAGTTTCAAGGTATCTGCTATATATTTGCGTTTAAACTATCCGTTAAATATACAGTTTATAAACAATTTATTATCGTTAATTTTGTAGGAACTTTATTTTTTACTTATTATAATGTAAGCTAAATTTAAATATGGTACTAGAAGCCTATAATAGACAATGAAAACAGTATAACTTTAAAACACATCAACTTTTTATAGAAGCAATATTTTTAAAAGCTATTTGGCAATTTTGTAGCGTTTATTATAAAGAACAAAGTTATCGATCAGACTTTTAAAATTTTACTTTTATAAAAAGTTATGGCTCTTTAAAGTTCATTTAAAATTGAAACGTATAGTAATTATATATAAAACAATAGTAATCTTTAAACCGCATCAACATTTTATACGGCAAAGTTTTTCAAAAAATATTTGGCAAATTTATATAACTAATATTGATCTACAAAGTTACCGGTCAGTCTTTTTGAAAAACCTCTGTATAAAAAGTTGTAGTGATTTAAAAAATTGAAACATATCGAGTATAGGCTTCTAGCATCAAACTTTTGTCGTGTAAAAAAAAAGACATTAATTTTTAGGCTGTGTTTATCATCGTTATTTTCAGGGATCGATAAATTCAAAAGTTTTGGTACGTACGATTTATTTGTTTTTTTTTTATTTGTGCGCTCCATCTTTCATTCTCAATCTGCTTTTTACACTGTAGAATTTGCTTGAATACAATATCACGGTAAGTTTTAATTAGTGTCCACTTTTGATTTATCTATATTAATTTGTGCCTACTATAATCGTAGGCAATAGGAAATCATGAATTTGATAAGGGTCCAGAAACACTCATCGCTCATCACTCACGATTGAATATGCCAATTGTATGTGCGAACATCAATACTACATTAAACCCTTTACTTGGTGTTAACATTAAACCATATCACATCTTTGAAGAATATAATCTAGGTGTCATTGGTTACATAACCGATGTATGTCACATAATTTACTTTATTCTATATAATAATTTCTTTACTTATATTATTTACACTTTGATATATGATTTATTCAGACAACTGGCGGCATTTCTAATGCGGGTCCTACTCTAGAATTTTATGATCCAATACCAATAGTTCAAAAATACGTGAATGAAATTCGAGCCATGGGAATTAAACGTATTTTAACAGTTTCTCATAATGGATATGAACCTGATAAAGAATTAGCCGCAAAAACTTATGGTGTTGCTGTGCATATTGGAGGTCATAGTCATACTCTTCTCTCTAATGATACTACCTCCAAAGATTATCATTTAGCATTGGGTCCTTATCCTACTACTGTCAAGAATGCTATAGGCGAAGATACTTTGATTGTGCAGGTATTATACTTTTAAAAAAAAAATTTTTTTCAGTACAATGGATTCAATTAACATTATTGATATACGTAATTGTGAAGGCATTTTGGTCTGGCAAATATGTAGGGCATTTGGATGTATCATTTGACAAAGAAGGAAAAGTAGTCGAATATTCAGGTGCCCCAATTCTAGTAGATCAATCAATTCCTCAAGATCCTGAAATAGCTGAATTAGTAAAACAATGGAGAGAACCGTTTGATGAGTATACAAAAACTGTGATTGGAAATGCTGTTGCACCATTCGATCAAAGGTCATGTCAAAGAACTGAATGTACAATGGGTAACTTAGTATTAGATTCTTTCTTATGGTCTCAACGAAAAATTAGCAAAGTTTATGCTGCAATCATGAATTCCGGTGGAATTCGATCAGGATTAATGGAAGGAAATATCACTCGCGAAAATATTATAACTATTCTACCATTTAGTAATTCTATGGTAATTTTAGATATGAGTGGTCAAAATATTACAGATTTATTGGAAAGTGCAACGGGAAGGTGGAAAAATATTATTTCTGGAAAAAGAGTTACTAGTTTTATCCAAGTATCTGGTATCAGGTTTAAGTATGATAGTAGTAAACCAATATTTAAACGAGTATTGGAAGTGAACATACAGAATCCTGATACTGAAGTATTTGAGCCGTTAGATCTTAAAAAAACTTATAAAATTGTTACAGTCGATTTTGTTGCCAATACCGGTGATGGGTAATGTCTAATTTTTTTCAAGACCTTGTATTACTCTGTATTAGTATTTTGAAATATTTTTCCTTACCTTATCATTATTTTAATAATATATAGATTACTTCCATATCCTATTCAAGATTTAATTCCTTTAGATGGTCCGGACACAGTTCTAACAAATTTTATTCAATATAAAAAAACTGTTGAGCCATATTTAGACGGTCGTATTCATGATGTTAATCCTAAAACTAATATTCACAGTACCGTATCACCTCATGAACCTATTCATTTTGGTTATTTTGATAATGACCAAATTTTAAGTGAGAGTATGGAAACCCAGATGGAAGGTAATATAAAACCTGATAGACAGGTTGTATTTAAAATTGCGGGTTTATAAGGTTTGTTAACAAAAATTTACTTATCTTTATTGATGTATTGAGTAATTAATGTATGTAAACAATTAAATTTAGTACGTAGAACCTAATGTTTTTCGATCACGAATATGTATTTAATTTGTCGAAATGATTTTATGTCGTGTGATAACTAGTGTACAATCCCAAATAATTAAATGTTTATTTTTTTTGAAAATACATTCAACTTGAAATTTTAACAAGACACTTGGCAAACCATTTATTTTTTTGTTAAAAATACATAATTATAAGTGATTGTAAATTTAAATTATATGATTAATAAAATTCGAACAGATTTATCAAAAAAATGTTCTAAATAACTAAAAATACACAATTCTCACACATAGATTTTTCCTTAAATTTCTTGAAAATAATTAATCAATCATTAAAGCCTTTTTAAATTCAAACATTTAGCAAATTTCATCTCAAAAAGAATACAAATTTAAACTTTTTCATTATTAGTTGTTTCTTGCTTGACATCGATTTCTTCTTGTTCAACTTTTTTCTTTCCGGTAATATCCAAAAAGGCACCTTCAATAACTCTATAAACACTATGTCTGGCCTCAACCACCTATTGTGAAAGAATAAAATTAATCCCAAATTTTTTTTCAACGGTGCAATACATCTTTATAAAAAAAATTAATAAACTACTTACTGGGAAAATGGCAACAGCTATAGCACCACAAAGCGCCCAAATCATACTTAAAGCCACCCAAAAAGTGAAGAAAGGTTTGGAGAAAACATAATTTGAAAAGTACATAGGTAATGGCCAAATAACAGCCAATATGAGGGTTAAACAGATACTACTCCAAAGAGCAAATTTGAATGCTTTTTTTAATCTGTGGGGATCAGTTTCAGAATCATCAACATGTTTAAAGTTTTCATCAACTTCATCATCAGTTAAAATTTGTAATTTGGTACGAGTAATATCGAAATCGAAATCATCAGGGAAAGAAAATGACCAGATTAAAGTTATAAACAATGGAACTAAGATAGATACTCTGAATTTAACATAAAAAGTCGAGTTATTTAAAAAAATTTCTCACACAAAATAGTATACACGTATATAGATGTAAAAAAGAAAATACATACAAATTTCCAGCCAACATAGGATAATTTTGACCAGTAGAGAAAATAGTAATTTCATTATAAAGTTTTTGAGCAGTAACTAACCAAGCGATAAGACCACATATGAGACCGACAATTGAAGAAACGATAGCAGCCAAAGCAGGTTGTTTCTTCCATGTTATTGTGAATGCCACAGGAAAGACG